GCCATTTTATATATTTTTTCCATTTTTTCGTCACCCGGCCGGTTTTAATGTAAAAACCCGAATGGGTATTACTTCCAGAGACTCCCAGGGGCATAAATAAGTGAAAACCCGGCCGGGTTTCAGGCATACCCGACCGGGTTTTAGCTCTTTTTTTGGTTTTATAAAAATTTCACCCGCCTGAGGTGTTGCCCGGGTATTCCTTCATTGTTTTGTTACCCGACCGGGTGTGGTATATACCCGGCCCGGTTTGTTCCCAATTTTACTTCAAAAACTTTTTTTTTAAAGTTCAAAGAAGAAAAAAAATGAAGAAATAAACGTACCTTGCATGGGTTGCCTCCCAAGAAGCGCTTTAGTTAACGTCGCGGCACGACGTTATTTTCTCTACTTCAATCTTTCATGTTCGGGTCATGATGACCCATCCTCTGCACATTTCTACCCCGGTGACTCTTATAGAAGAGCTCAATTCGTCGACCACCCATTTTGACAATCTTTCCAGGATCAAATATCCAGATTCTCATTGCTTTATGTTGTGAGAGCGAGGGAAATTTTGTACCGATTAACATGGTCAATGGAAAGGGTTTTGATCTTGGTGGCATAAGAGGGGGTATCAAATGTTTACTTAACTCCACTGTCATTTCTCGCATATTTGTGAATGAAAAGAAATCCAAATGATACTCTCTCGGATTATTCGCAACCGCGACAAGTACATTTAAATTACCCTCACATTCGCTGAGGATTTCGTGTTTGTCCTTCTCTACCCTTTGTGTTTCCCTTCTCGGATGGCATGATCTCAAGAATGGCCGGTGATGGAGTTGAGTTTTGAGGTTCTTCCTCCTCCGGTTGAGCTTTTTCTGCAGGCTCCTCTTCTTCCTCCTCCTCGCGGATGTAGTTCACAACGCTTGGCATTTGTTTTATTTGATTCTCCAAGTTCAGTTCTTTGAGTACTGTTTCTTGCGGGTATTGTGACATATCTTGTTGCATTTTTGTCACATTGATAGTGAGAGCTCGGATCATGTCTTCAGTGGACATGCTGGAATAAGAACTTGAGTATGGGTTATATGTGTTGGAGAATGAATCATACCTCTCTTGGAAACCAACATCATTACTTTGTTCAAAGTAATTTTCTTGAAGCTTTGGGCAAAAATCCGTAAGATGCCTTTGTGACATGCAAATGTTGCAGGCCTTGGTATCTTGAACTTTTGAGCATAAGAGAAACTCCTTTACTAAAAAAGTTAAGCTAGAAATTTGACTCTCTAGCGATGATGTGTTGGTATCCATTACTCATGTAAGCTCAGAAAACAGAAAAGTAATTTTTTTATATGTTTTTTTTAATTTAAAATAAAAGAAAATAATTGTCTTTCCCCGGCAACGGCGCCAAATTTGACGAGTACTTTGTCACGGTGCGTCAAAATAATTTTCAATACTAAACACTTATACGTAGTATAGCGTAGTAGAGTTCGTATCCACAGGGAAAGGAATAATTCTCTTTTTATGATACTTAGTAAATAAAAAGGGGGGATTTGGATTGAGTGATTTAATTTAATTAAGAACTAAAATGAACAACCTATATGTGTTTAATTCAAAGATAAAAAGGACTTGGCATTGCTACTTTCCACTTGTTGATATATTTTAGTCGATCATTGTTATATCTATAACTTATTCCCTCTCGAATACTCAATTGGGGAGTATATCCACTTCATCGAGGGTAGTTATTAACAACGACCGTTCATTAATAACCCTTACTATTAATCAAATATAGAACACCGCCTTATACCGATTTAATAGTAGCATTTAATCTTTCTAACTCCTTGATGAAATCAATTGAGATTGATAACCTCAACACAAGCGGTTTCGGTTTAACCAACAAAATTAATCCCTCTTAAGTTTATTAACCACGATCGTGCATTAATAAACCGAAGTTACTTGTGAAACCATCAACGATTAACCATCGATTCGTTGATCGTTTCTAGTAATAATTAATATATGAAACAAAACTAGTTGATCCTTTAAGTAATGTTCAAAATATTAATATGAAATAAGAGTAGGAATTAATTAATATTCAAGGAAGAATATTATTAAAGAAGACGAATCCTACTATAATTAATATCAAGATGTTAACTAATTGTCATCTTAGCAACACTCCCCAACATTAATATAGAGGAAGAAAATACCATTCTAACTAATGTCGAGATGTTAACTAATTGTTATCTTAGCAACACTCCCCAACATTAATATAGAGATGGTATTAAGGAAAGAACTATTAATTAATTTCAAGGAAAGAAGTTAAGAAAATAACTCACAACTTTAATAATCAACAAGCTTCAAGAGCAACACCAAGAATGGAAGTTTAGCTCCTCATTTGGAGACTAAACATAGCTAGAAAAATATAAAGAAATGTTATTCTAAACTGAGCTAAAGAGTATGGAAGAAGGGATGATGAAAAGTGAAGGAAAATGGAGTTATTTATAGGTGTTTTCAACACCTAATGCCGGATACCCGGCCGGGTATTTTGACATACCCGACCGGGTATTTACCAAATCAAATATTTTCCCATGTTTTTGTGTCTTATGCACGTTCTTTGGTCCGAAATCACTTCATACCCGACCGGGTATATGGAATACCCGACCGGGTATTTGCTAGTTTTGCAGCAATTTCCTTTGTCACTTCATACCCGGCCGGGTAAAATCCATACACGTCCGGGTTTTGCACAAAACTCAGGTTTCTTCATCCTTTTTGCTTCCAAACCTATCCTAAACTTATAGCCAAACTAACTACAACTTACAACAAACAATAAAATGCTAGAAATACGATTACAATCAAATGCAAACTAACAACTATAAACTTACACAAAACTAGTAAATAAACATTACAAACATTAATAAAAATGTATACTTAGGCACTAACAACTAGTGCCTATCAAGCAGTTCCAGTTCCTTCTCGCCTCCAGCGGTCCAGTCAGCTTCGCCCTTCGTCCTTCGCCCTTTGCCGATTGCAGCCGCCAGCCGTCTGTGTTCAAGTAATCAGCTTCGTCCTTCGCCCTTCACCGATTGCAGTTGTCGGATTTGTGGTACTGTTAGTATACTAGTATTAAACTGTGCGATTGTGCGTACTCGTATGTATGAGTTACTTTTATCATTTTATGAGTTACTTTTCTTTTTCTTTTGCTTTTGTAACTTTGTTTAGTCAATAAAAAAGTTTATTTAAATAAATAAATTTCTTAAAAAGTATAAAGTTTAGTGAATAAACTGATTTTTATTGTGCTTTTTTACTTAATAGTCATCTTGTTTTATTACTAATACTTTAGTTTTTAGTGCGACGTTTCCTCGCCGTACCCGTACTCTTAATTTTTGAGATTAAGGTTTCCCCGTCCCCGTTTCCGTCCCCGTTTCCGTTTCCGTACCGGTGCTACTTAGTTTTCCACTTAGCAATCTGTCAACCAGTTTTTTTTATAGCATCCCTTTTTAAAAGAATTGTGTTTTGTAACTTAATCTTCTAAATTAATTCCTTGGACATGATACTAATAGATGTCATAAGATGAGGCTTCCATTATGTTAGAACCCTTTCTCCCATACATTACTTTTCTCATTCTCCTTTAAAGCTTTATATTTAGCTTGTCTGCCATACTTCGAGCCTTTAAAACATCAAGAAAATTCCGGAGATGCCTTTATTAGAAATAATTTACCTTTAAATAAAACCCGTTTATAGGCCGAGTATTTTGCAAAGTTACCTTGAATATGCTATGTAGTTGATTGTTACATGATTACACGATATGAAAATAATATCTTTTCACGAAATCTCTGTTGATATTCTGTGCATACTCAGTTGGAGGCTCTTGACAGTGTCACAAGCTCGCCTTCATAGACTCCACGTAAATGCATTTTTACATCCACTTAAATGCAATTTTACATATTCAGAGACATTCCATTATAAATGTTATGTAACTTATGTTTGAGATTTATTTTTGAAAACCCGTCTAAAGATATTATTCTTTGAAATTTAAGTTCCAAAACGATGACAACATATAAGGTTAATCATGCTTAGGAAACTATCATCATATAAAAATATTGCACGAAGTATATATAATATAAACACATATTGAATTATTGAAATGTTTGGGTGAAAGTATTCCAAATTGCTCCTAAAATCAGTTCTTTAGAAGTTAGGAAAGACCGGCTTATAAAATTGATTTTGATTCTACTTCTGTTTTAAAAAAAAAGAAACAGAAGTAGAAACAATTCCAAACACTCCATAATTCACATTTATAATACATACACACATATACATGCAGGGGCGGAGCCAAGGGGAGGGTCAGGGTGGTCAACCGACCAAGCTGAAAGTTTGAGAGTATAGAGCTCTGAAATATCTTCGATTTGATATATTATGACCCTCGTAACTCATTATGCGTAAAAAGTTATGACTTCTTCAAAATCGGAACTATCTAAACGTAAAATCAACAAAATTTGATTCATACTATAGATTATTTTCCCAAATTCTAAAAATAGGGTATAATTTACTCAATACTTACGTGACATGCCTCGGAAACAAAGCACAAATAATCTATCTTATTGCTACGAGTGCATATTTATCTAAACTGCATATGAAATATTAAACTTGAACATTGTTTAAAAACGATCCATCATTTTGATTCTGTATATAGGTTGAGATTCGACCCCCTGAACCGTTTTTCTGGTTCCGCCACTGTATATAGGAGACAGATTCAAAGGAAGATAGTCGGTTATCGATTTCTCCATTCAAATAAAAAGTGACGTTCTCGTGCAAAGTGCCAATAATGCACCATATAAGGTTTATTGTGCATTAAAGTTTGTACTGCTGAAATTAATTCTTATTTGAAATTAATTCACCTCCTCTCTGGGGATGCCATCTGTCAACCAAAACAACAGGGTGGTTTGGGGCTCTGCTCAGCTAGACAGCTTAATCGGGCGTATATGGTAAAACTGGGTTTTCAATTTCTTACCAAACCAGATGAATTGTGGGTGCAGGTGCTTCAAACTAAGTACAATCGAGAGACAGAAACAGGATTTCGTCCGCAACATTCCTTTTCCAAATCAATGATTTGGCGTGGGATTGTGGCAGCCCTATCTACGGTGGAACTTGGAATGAGGAATGGAATCCGGGATGGCCGCAACACACCTTCCTGGACTACTCGCTGGCTGGACTCGGGCGAGAAACTTATCGACCATATTCTTCCTTTGGCTCCAGAACCAGACTTCTCTGCCCCCGTGTCACAGTTCTGCACAGCTTCTGGTGAGTGGGATTTCCCCCTTCTTCGTTCCTTGATCCCAGAAAATCTGGTGTTGCATATTGCAGGTATGTCCCCCCCTCGCCCTGGCAGTGGAGATGATACTCTTGTTTGGGGTTGTGAAAAGGATGGCTGCTTCAGGATACGGTCAGCATACGCCCTACTTGGTGGACATATTAACAGAGAAGAAGAACTGGACTGGAGAGTGGTCTGGCATTGGCGTGGCCCCAATCGTATTAGACATTTCCTTTGGCTCGTGGCACACAACCGTCTATTAACTAACGAGGAAAGAAGACGTAGACATATATATGGCAGCAGAGGGCGTCTGTTCACGCTATAATCAACACCAGGAAACAGTTCTGCATGTGCTACGAGAGTGTCCTTTTGCGATTACCACATGGGAGCGTCTTGCCTATCTTTCCGCTGATCGAACGAACTGGGAGACCCCACTTCTGCCTTGGATCACACATCACCTGAAGGCAACGAGCAATAGTCTTCTTTTTGGAGTCGCCTGCTGGTCTCTCTGGAAGGCCAGAAATGAGGATATTTTTACTGATATCCGGATCACCCCTGAGTCCCTTGCTCAGCGTATCCGATATTGGGCTGAATCTATTGAGGAGGCTTTGATACTTGACCAATCAACACATACCAGTCTACCAACAAAAATGATGGTCGATGTCTCCTGGCCGCCGCCGCCGCCCGCGTGGGTGGCTCTAAATTCTGACGGGTCAGTTATTCCCGAGACTAGACGAGCAGCTGCAGGAGGGTTGCTCTGTGATTCCGATGGCCGCTGCTTAGCAGCGTACTCGATGAACCTGGGTTTTTGCTCGATCACCAGGGCTGAAATGAGAGCTGTTGTACAAGGATTACATTTTGCATGGGAGTTTGGCTATCGCATGGATCGAGTGCAATTGGACTCGCAGGTAGCTATTCAACTTTTGATGGAAGAAGGTGAGCGTGCTCACCAACATTCTTCTGAGGTTGCACAGTTTCGCGAGCTTTTGAATCGAAATTGGACGGTCAGAGTTGAGCATGTTTATCGAGAGGGTAACCGGGCAGCAGACTTTTTAGCTAGCCTAGGCCATACATTACCTATTGGCGTTCACTCTATTTCTAATGTTGATTCTAGATTATCATTACACATTTTGTATGACTTGCTTGGGATTTCCCAGCCTCGTTTGATCATTAATACTCCCTCCGTCCCGGTCATTTCTTCCAAGTTTGACTTGGCTCACAAATTTAGAAAGTGAGAATAAAGTGGAAATGTATGGTTGTAATTGTGTAAGAAAAAGATGAATAAATGTGAACCACATATTTTTTCCAAAAGTGGAAGTTAGAAGAATTAATTGGGACGGCCCAAAAAGGAAAGTTGGAAGAAATGACCGGAACGGAGGGAGTAATAGCTAGGAGATAATGCTCCTATGTTTCTACCAAAAAAAATTATCGTCAACATGTATTTTTCATAGACGAATTGACGGAATGGTTAGTAGGGGCGGCTTTGAGGGCAGTTGGGCCAGGCAACTGCCTTGGGCCTCAACTACCAAGGGGGCCTCCAAAAAATTCTACTCCGATATTAGTATTAGGTGTTATTCGCAGACCGCCAATACACTAAGCGGCAACTGCAAGCAGAAATCAGCTTTATAGTTCACTTTTGACTATTCGTCCTTCATCAAAGTTGTAGCTAATGAAGTCTTCTATCCAACACAACTTGCAAAATTGGATTTGAATCATCCAATAAAAACATATGAATAAAATGGTGGAAGGTCGCATTCTGAAATCTCAACAGAGATTGTCTGACTTCATCATCTGTTTTGACCTTGCTTCTCTCAGATTCTCACAATGGTGTCTTCATATGATTTTTATACCTTGAAGTTGGCTTTCATATGAATCTTGAATCATGTTTTGTGGATGTTCCTAAGAAAATATATGCTTGAACGATTGACAGAACGTCATCCTGATCGTTGTTTTCAAGCTCTATTCGTCTTCTTTGATCCCGTAGCCAATTCTAGAGCTCTTTTGTCTTCAAAACTTTGTCTTTAACATCTCACTGATCTCTAATGCTCCTAATCAACTCTAAAATGCTTCTCAACTCGTCCCTATTGCTTCTCAAACACCGGTGCCAGGCTCAAATTTCCTGATTTTGACTCCAAAAATACCAAAACTCGAACCAACGGCCGGTAAATATGACTTGAGCTTAAAATTGAGACTGATGACACCTTAAAGTTAGGAAAAAACTATCAAAAGCCGATCTCAACACGCATCAACGTCCAACACAGACCGCTAATCGGCTACTGTATATATGTCTCACTGTCCACCGTCGACATGGGTCCTTGGTTAGTGTATCAACTAAGACTCTTCAGCTCTTCTCTCTGAGTCTCGTTCTTGAAGTCTCTTAATACTTTTACAAGTACAAGTTTGCCTTGTGTTTTGAATAAGTTTGCATTTTAAAATTTATTCTTTTGAATATTACAAACATTATATCGTGGACTTTGAATATGCTTTTTTTCATAAGGTGATTTTTATTCAATTTATCTGATTTTAAAAGTGATTTGTACATAGTATATATTTTTCGTCTGGGACCTCCAAAATGCTCAAACCGCTTCTGATGGTTAGTTGGAATAGTTGCTTCTTGCGTTTAGATTGCTCTCTGTTTGGGCAGTCCAAATCCTTGCTTGGGTTTTCATTGTGTTTTATTTACTTTTTTAAAGCTTTGGACAAGTTCAAAGAGAATTTAGAGTCTTTTATATAAAAAAATAACCTGTTTAAATGGTTTTAACTAGAATAAAGAATTTGATTTACCATATCATGGAAAAGTATTACTCCGTAATAATTACACATCTTTATGCTTTAATATAAACTGATCACTTAGAATATTATTATGCATTTGCAACTTAAATTAATTCTAAATTTAACAAATTAATAATTTTGTGGTTATATATTGTTTCTAAGAAAGTGAAATTATATCAACTCATCAAATGTAGTGTTTTCTTGAATTATGATCATTTTTGTCAAATGATTAGTTCATTATTTATAACTGATGCTAGAATTTGGTATGCATAATGAGGTTAACCATTTTTGGAACGTGTGTGATAATATTATATACTGAAGGGTTTGACCCCTCATGATTTCATGAATAATTCTTGATAGAACACTTCATATATATGTATATATCAAGATGGTATTATCTTATCTAATTGGATCACCATGGAGTAAACTGTTTAATAATAAAACATGAGACAACAACATATTGCCAGGTAGATCGAAATTAACTGAAAATTTAAAGTTAAAAATAAACTATCGATGGACATATGAATTAAACGATGCTAGACTGCTAGTAACCCAAGGTTTGATCTGTTTAATATGGAAAAGAAAAGGAAAACAAAGAACAAAAAACAAAACAAAAAAGGGAACCCCTTCACATATACAGAGTATATGTGCATGCTCACTCATAGCCGTACAACTAATCTACTGCTACTTCTTTAGAGGCTGAGTTGTGAGTCCATACCCAAAAGGGAACAATGGATCATAATGCTTGTCTCCTACGTTCATTGGGAGCTGGTCAACCGTTTTGAACCATGTCCGGGCAAGCTTGCCAGTGAATCCATAGTCCCCAAACAAGGCGTCAGTGACCCCTTGCCCTTCAGTCCCGGGCAGCCACGCTGCAACAAGGGCATCTATTTTTTCAACATAGGGCGCAATCACAACAGGCCGTCCTGAAATCACAACCACCACACACTTGGTTGCCCCACAAACATTGTCTATAGTGACACCCCCGCCCGTTCCCGTTATGGTGAGGTTAGTCGTGTCGCCATACATTTCTGCATACGGGGGTTCGCCCACGACCACAATGGCATATGAGAAATTATTGGACTTCACAAAGTTGGCGTCCGGATTGTCTTGATACACGACTTGTGTTGAAGGATCGACCGTCTTCTTTATCGCGCTTAAAATGGTGGTTCCTGTTAAACCAAAACAAAAAATACATCATATATCTAAAAATATGATGTTCAGAATTTAGTATTCTTTATTCTTTTATTACTAACCAATTCAGAACACATTATAAGATATTGGAACTCATAAAACTCTCTGGCTTATAAGCTTAAAAAGAAAAACTTTTTCAACTTAATTAGTCTTACATAATAGAAAAAAATTATAAATGGAGGGAAATTCCCCGAAAATAAGAGTAAAAACAATGCAATTTTAATAGATAGCAGTATCATATTTTTTCCCAAAATAGTAAAAATTGAAACCAAAAGGCCGTAATTTGGCTTTACCTAAAAATAATGTGGCAGTGTACATGTTACAATTGACCGTGTTTTTTCGAAACCACATTACTTCTATTCATATTTAGGGTGATTTGTCGTGAATAAAATGATCTTCAAGAAGCATGTATAAAATATATTCATTACTTCTGAGTCGATCTATTTTGCTTTGCTTTAGGATAAAAAGGAGATTGAAAAGAAAGAAACAAAGAATGGATTATTATTTGGGAGGAGAAAAGGGTAACATACCAATGGTACGATTATTGCCATTAAAGCCTTGCCATTCAACAGTCCAGCCTCCGCATTGGTATCCCAAGTTGTGTGCATGACTTCCAGCAACAAGAATCTTGGGTACTTTCTTGGGAAGGGGAAGTAAAGGATGCATTGAACTCTTTCCGTTCTTCAGAAGCACTAATGATTTCCTCACTGCTTCCCGCGCCAAATCCCTGTGCTCCTATTATCATCATCATCACCATAATTGTCACAACTTTAAAAAACAGACTTCTTTAGTTTCATAGGAGTGAGGGGAGTCAAAAATCTAAACTGGCTGGACCCAAGACTAAAGTAATTTGTTTTTTTTTATCACCCTAATCTGTGATAATGAATTCAAACACCATTAATTGATATCGAATAGTAACATTTCTCACATTTTAAACCATTCTCGACCACACACAAAAGAAAGGCATTCAAAATAAGTGGCTTATGTATATATTCATATTTACCTGGCTTCCAAGTTGGTTGGCGAAGCTCTGATCAGCCAATGGATTCTCAAAGAGACCCATGGTAAACTTGACCCTCAGTATCCTCCTCACAGCATCGTCAATCCTACTCATTGGAATCACTTTCTTATTCACAAGATAAGTCAAATTGCTAATATAGTCTTTGTAATTCTGAGGGACCATGACCTGCATTACACAGCCATGTTAAGAGTCGCCCACTTTAAGTTTATGAGAGAAATAACATTTTAAAAAGCTACAATTTCAATTTCTTGTCCCGCGACTATTACACCATTCTAATTTGTTGACATCCAACATTCATTATTTTTTCACTTTTAGTGCATGATGGTGGCATATTGGCATAGCCAGAGAGTGCCTTTTAAAAAGTCAAACTAAGTATTTGTCACAAAATAATTTATCCATATAGCAATTTATTATATAAAATAAGAGATCAAACATACATATGGTTTTTTTCTTACAGAAGTTGATTAGTTTTGGTCCTTCCAAGCATTGGTATGGTTAGTTCCCCACTGATTTTTGTTGTATGAAAGACCAAAAATTTAAGGAAAGAAAATGAAAATTAGGTGTCCAAAGTGGAAAAAAAAAATAAGAGCAAATATTGAAAAAGTTGTGCAGCCAAGAGTGAAAAATATTATTTCGAAAAGCTAAAGCATGTTGTGGAAATCCGGCCGTGATAGAAAATTAACAACTTTTTTTAAGGACAGAAAATATCTCTGTGAGCTAAACCCATGTTGTTCTGCAAAGCATTTTTTGCAAGACATTAAATTTCAATAATAGCATAGGGCTCACCATGTCAATCCCTGCAAGAATCCCAGCTTGTACCGAATAAGTGTAATTAGACTTAGGCGGGCTGGTAATCCTATCAATGCCCTCCCAATCTGAAATCACAAATCCCTGCAAACACACACACACACACATCATGCCCAATACATTTAGTTAAGATTCATAATTTGCTTGGTAAGGGTCACTTTTAATTTATAGATAGAGTAAGGAAAAAGTTATATGCAAAAGTGGCCCTCTTCAGGAACTTCAACAACAAAAAGTACATTATATGGGGACCTTCGTTTTGTGATTATTATTAAAATTATCCATATGTCTTGGTGATTGTTGATTAGGAAGAGCATAATAACTACACAAAAAATGAAGCTTACCCTGAATTTGAGCTGGTTCTTGAGGAAGCCAGTGACAAGGTCGCGGTTAGCGTGCATCTTATGGCTGTTAATGCTCGAATAAGAAACCATAACAGTAGCAACACCCTTCCTGATGGAATCATAATATGCTGGCATGTGAATGCTGAACAGCTCCTTTGCACCTATTACCGTGTTGTTTTCATCAATCCCCCTCACCGTTCCCCCATCACCAACAAAATGCTTTGCACATGCTGCAACTTTGTTCCTTTTTACACACACACAAACATAAGATTTACATAACTAGAATTGCCTTACCTATTCAAGTACCCCTGATCAGACTAGGCCTTCACCTACACACGCTATTTTAAAGTGTTTTAGCTATTTTACTATGGCGTTATGTTAAACTCTAATGAATTGTGAATGAGCATTTCATTTGCGAGAGAAACACAGTTAGTCAATGGAAAATATATTTTAAAAAGGAGGAAGTGACATAGGGGGGACGTACTTTCCAGCAACAAATGGAACACCATGGGGGTAATTAGCAGGGAGATCTCCTTGTAAGCCAGGGATTATCTCAGTCATCATTTGCACAATCTTGTGATCTTCACTATAGCTTTCATAACACCGTCCCCATCTTGGATCCCTACAAACCTATACGTATTCAAAACCAGAACCAAAATAACAGTGACTTAGTCAGTCCTCAAATGAAACATACAAACATTGATATTAATTAATGCACAGAACATCACACAGCAAAAACTTACAGCAATGCAGGGAGAAAAAGCATATTGGATTCCTGTAGCTCTAACTTCAAGTGCAGTTGCTGCTCCAATCCTTTTCACTAGCTCTGGATCCCTGCAACAAATATTTCACCATCAATTAAAATAGTTTGCACTAAATGGGGGGACAGTTTTTGTTTCAACAAGATACAATATTTTAGTCTTGGTAAGGTACAATTCTTATAAGCGAAAATGATCATTGTAACATCATCCCACCATCTCTATCATATGCGTAAAGCCGTAAATATTGCACCGGATTTCTTTTATACATAAGTTTTACTTATACTCTTCAATTAATTTGTTGGCTTACCTAACTGTGTAGCATCTATTTTTAGAAATTACAACAATGTCATTTAAAATAGAAAATCACTACACATCTTGGACTCTTGGTACTGCCAAGTTGGTAGGTCATGATTCTTGTAATATCAAAATTAGTTTTTCAAACAGGAGTTTGAAAATGTGGATCATCTTGATGGATAAGGATAATCTCCGGCTATCGATAAAAGTACTGATTATCAACAAAAAGAAGTCAACTTTTACCGAAGCGTGCCATGCATCTAAAAAATGGTAATGGTATGATACAAATATTATCGATGTACTTTTTGTTTTTAAATATAACATCTCCTGAAGTCCTGAACTTATTTTTGTTCTTCGGAAAATAACGATACTACCAACCAAAAATCAGGTTGAATAGAAAAATGGTCTTTTTTGGAGATGGCGGGGAGGCGGGTGGGTAGCAAAATTGTTTTTCAAACACATTTTTTTGGATGGACATTTAAAATCTTCTTAGATTGGCAAGCAGTTTATTTCGATTCAAGTTAATAATGTACTTGCCTGGTGACACCAAGCCCAATGTTGTGAGGAAAAATAGTAGCCTTGTAGACATTATTGTGGCCATGAACTGCATCAATTCCATATATCATAGGAATCCCAAGGCGGGTAGAAAGTGCCCCTTTCTGAAGCCCATTCACCATGTTCACCCAATCTTCAGCTCTAGCATTTTGTGCAGGCACACTTCCTCCTCCACTCAATACACTCCCTATCAAAATAGTCAAAACCTTTCCCTTTTAATCAAATTTAAAGTCAATTCAAATTACAACCATCTGTATAACAATCTGTCATATTAAGAACATAACCACTAAAGCAGCAACACACAAACCCCACACACTAGTACATTGATCTTTAGTATCTTTATCATGTTTAATTGGGATAGAGTAGGTTTTTTGAAACATTATATATGCCTATATTTATGTGTGTTAAATGAAACTATATCGATAGACAAGATTATAATTTTAGCTGAGCTACTCAAAATGGAAGACCTTTGCTCTTGTCATTGAAAAATTAAACAAATACCAGACCACCTGCAAGATTTGAAATCTTGGAAGAGAAGTGAAGTAAATGTAATTAGAGGAGTTATTCAGCATTACACAGGACCTGTTAAGGCCCAGGTAGTAGATCGAAGGAGTAGGCCAAGATTTATATTGTATCATTCTCCATTTGTTTTTTCATCAATCTTGTTATAAGTTATAACCATCTTCACTTTTTGTTAGAATGATCGGGGATAGACTGAGATTTCTAGCCATGTAATTTCTATGACTATACTTATGTAATTATGTCCAAGATCCCATTTTTTATTGAACGATATAGCAAAACTGAAATCTTGGAAGACAAAAAAAATGCATACCAATGAAATTAGCTGCGCTAATCAGGACTATACAGGACTTAGTGAACTAAGAGGGTTTAAGGAAAATAAAATAGAAGCCCAGCCCGATAAGAGCCTAAAGTTAAAGTTCGGGTTGATTGAGACTAGATGAAGATTTTAAGAACCACGTTTTATGTACAAGATTCCCTTTTTATTATCTGAACAGTGAACAACACAACAAAACAGAAGAACTTGGTGTTCTTGGCATTCAAAAAGAATGTTAAAAGAAGTACAAGTAAAAAAAGAAAAAATACCCATCCATCGTCAGCAAGAAGTCAAGAACTAAATCTATGAAGAGTGACAAAAAGCTAGCATACCAACGAAGTATTGCTTCATAACATCAGCAGTGGCAACATTCCTCTCAATCTGAGTCATCTGCCCAATTTTCTCCTCAAGGCTCATCCTTTTCATCAAATCTCTGATCCTAACACCCAGTGGCTGCTTCGAGTCCTTGTACTTGAGGTATTCAGCTTCTGCCATGGCTGCCAAGAAGCACAAAACCAGCACAAGAAAGCCTGTCATGAAGGGTCCTGCAGATCTCCCCATTTTGGCTACCTTCACCGGCCGGATGCGATTCTTGTCCAACTACAGATAAGTATTATGTTATGTTGTTGAGAATACTGATCGAAGGACAAGACAATAGCAATTATTTATATGTGCTTTAATGCATGCAAGAGTTCAATTCTATGGTAGGATTGCCGGAGAGATAGAGTCCTATGAGGACATACACTTGAGAGTTTTGAGAGCCAGTTCTGGTGTGATAAGGAAGCTTGAGACTTGAGAGGCTGAGTTATATTGTTACCAGAACTTCTATATTTTGAAAAGACCTCTGACTTTCCGTAACATTTAAAAAAAAATGCACTATAATTCCAATCTGAATAAAGAGTGTAGCTCTGTCCCCGTTATTTGCAGAGGCCCTATGCATTTTTAGGAAAGTAATCCCTTATCGCAGTTGTCGAGATTCGAACTCGAGACTTAACCCTTGTATCACTCCCTTGCTATCAGTTGAGCTACGCCCACCCGTGTAACATTTACATATTATACTCCGTATCACAAGTTCTAAATCCAGGATTATACTTCTTACGGTATAATTGTAATAAGTTTGGACAGAAACGACAATTAATAAAGTAAAAAAAAATTGTATGGTTGAGTTTTGTGCAGAGGAGAGAATTAATTGGAACCACAAATTCTTTACTTAAAAAGGAAAGAGACAAAGTTAGTGTGACATCCAAAAAAAGAAAGTTGACAAAGTTTTAAGGGATTGAGGTAGTATTTTCTTTTTTATTTTTTCAATAAAATTGTCGGGATAAGGGTCAGATATGGCCTCGAACTTACAAAAAAATGTCAAATAAGGTCATATATATGATGCTCTGTACGTCCGACGCCATTTGGGGTGGGTCCTGGTTAAATTTTTCGATGAATTTTTTTAGCATCTTATTCATTAAGTCTAGTTTACTCATATCAAATTTTAACTAAAAATTCAATCGGGAAGGCATTCAAATGAATTCTTCAAAATAACTGCGCAGTTAAAAACGCAGTTATCTTCAAGAATTTATTTGAATGCCTTCTCGATTGAACTTTTAGTTCAAATTTGGTGTGACTAAACTAGACTTAATGAATAAGATTCTAAAAAAAATCATCAAAAAATTCCATCGGGGACCGCCCCAAATGGCGTCGGCCGGACAGATCATCTTATATAAGACCTTATTTGACATTTTTTTGTAAGTTGGAGACCTTATCTGACCCTAATCCCTAAAATTGTCTCATACGAAGTTTGATACGGTAATATCTATGTTGTTCAAAATCATTTTTACTTTATCTTCACTTTATAAATTTAATATCATCAAAACTCACTTTATGAATGTTTGTGAGACGGAGTAGTAAACTATGGACTCGACTTGGAGCAAGTGTAGCCTTGTAGAGAATCGAGTCGCATAGGACCCTAAAAATGGAAGTTCCCAAAAAATTCCGTAGTGTTATTATTAATAGGCTAAAGGGTCAAATAGGTACATGAACTAACTTAAAGTGTTCAATTAGCTCCTTATATAGGAGGTTCTGCCCGACCGTCGCCAATTGGGGCAGTTCCCGGTAAAACTTTTTGATGAAATTTTTTGAGCATCTTCTTCATTAAGTCTAGTTTACCCATATCAAATTTAAGATAAAAATTAAATCGGGAATGCAGTCAAATTATTTTCCGAAATGTACTGCGTTGTTTAACTGCGCAGTTATCTTCAAAAAATCATTTGAATGCCTTACCGATTGAAGTTTTAGCTGAAATTTGGTATGAGTAAACTAGACTTAGTTAAGAACATTATAAAAAAAATCATCAAAAAAATCCACCGGGAACTTCCACAATTGGCGACGTCCGGGCAGAACCTCCTATATAAGGGTCTAATTGAACACTTTAAGTTAGTTCATGTACCTATTTGACCTTTTAGCCTTATTAATATATCGGAGTCCATATAACCATTAGCCCACATATATCGTTGTAATTAATGAACTCGCATACTTCATCTTATGTGCAGCAGATAAGTCTCAAAGTTCCGTCCGTAAGGTATTTATTCTTATATATTATGGTTAGCGAAAATTCTCAAAATATGTTCGAGAATTCTACACCTTCTCATTTTTCTTTTAGATGTTCCAACCAAATGTTCTGGTTTTCTATTTTAGGAAATAGTTCCAATGACCTCATTATATTGTATACCCCTACAATTATTTACCAAAATATATTTGAATTAAGTTATTTAATTATTGTCTAAATGATCATTCCATTTCACAATGAGAACTGTATCATAGACCAGGACAGAGTTAGTAGTAAAAAATCTTCTTACGTAGAAGAGAATTTAGCAGTTTTAAAAGTTTTAATTAGATATAGTTGCTTTAAATATGAGGAAAAAGAAGACTTAACAAAGTCATCGACCCTAAACACAAAGTTTTAATATTATATTATAGAATGGGCCATTTTAAAACATGTTAAATCTGTTTTAAACAAACGGACTAATAATATCTAATTTATTTAGTCAAATATTCCACAATATTACATAATTTACGTAATTAGTTTAATATTTACTACTAATCAATAGAGCTTCTCATGTAAAATTTGGATAATGTACTCCAACTAATCAATAGAGGACTTTAGCATTTAAAGTGATATACAATTAATAACTTTTATAGAGCATTCAAAAAAAATTCAATTGCTTTTTCAATATCATCAAAATATAGAAAAGAAGGATAAAAGCCCATAACTTAAAATTGCTGTCTTTCGAGTTTTCTTTCAAACGCTCCAACAATGCAATTTAGTGAAAAGGGTAAATTTATCACTTCGGAAGACACAAAGGGACTATCGATGCAAAATTAAAACATAGGGACTAAGGATATGTTTGGTACAACTAGCTGAAAAGATACTTTTATAAAAAAAATTAGTAACTGTTAGCTTTTAGTGACTGAAAAGATCTTAAAAGAAAAAGGTGATAGCTGTTTGGTAAAAAGTTGACTGTTAGATTTAGTTTTGTTTAGTATACAAGCTGTTAAGACTAATTAATATTAAAAGCTACAAACTTTTCTCAGATGCTATTCTATGTAGCATCTCAAAAAATTTGTCATGCCAAACATATAACTAGAAGCTTTTAGATAATTTTTAAACAGTACAAAAGCTAGAAGGCGGAGACTTATGCCCGTCAAACATGCAATTTTATGTTTTAAGTATTCACACATCAACACATGGATATCTAGGTGTGGCACTTTCTCGAGTGAAAATTATAATCGAAATGAATTGAAATTTTCGTTGGGTAGAAGAATGGTGCAATACAATAACTATTTTGTACAATGAAATATTTCAAAATGTGTAATTTTCTTTTAAAGCCTAAAACTGACAAGTGACACATTAATTTTCATTCATCACTACTCCTATTATTGTGTGTACTATGAAGATTTTTCAACTCATCATGTGTATATGAAAAGCAAATAAATGTAACACAAAAAATAATAATAAATATATACTGATATACACATCAATTCTTTTGAACCCTCCTCATTTTTCAATAAAATATTAGCACACATATACGGAGTATATTTTATCATAGAAAATGATATTAACATATTCTCTAAATAATTCACAACCTCTATTAATATTTACCATTTTAATTCATATCAACGTGATATATACTCCCGGGGCATGCTCTGGGTGTTACACTAGTTCTTTACTTAAAAGGGAAAGCGGCAAAGTTAGTGAGATATTCAAAAAAAAGTTGTCAAAGTTTTAAGGGACTGAGGTGGTATTTTCTTTTTTATTCGTTTTAATAAAATTGTCTCATACGAAGTTCTATATTATCTATGTTGTTCAAAATCATTTTTACTTTATTTTCACTTTATAAATTCAATATCATCAAAACTCACTTTTTTTAATAATTGGATCACCTTCTTCTGCGTGAATGTTTGTGAGACGAAGGAGTAGTAAACTACGGACTCGACCTGGAGCAAGTGTAGCCTTGTAGAGAATCGAGTCGCATAGGACTCGATTAATGTTATTATTATTATTATATCGGAGTCCATATAACCATTAGCCCACTGCCCACATATGTTGTTGTAATTAATGAAATCACATACGTACTTCATCTTATGTGCAGCTCAGTCTCAAAGTACCGTCTGTAAGGTATTTATACTTATATATTGTGGTTAGGGAAATTTCTCAAAATAAGTTAGAGAATTCTAAAATATGACTGTTATGTTTGGTAACATACACTCGGAAGCAAGGTAGGCAGACAAATCACCAAATTGATAAAAATAATGGTAGTTTATCTTTTTTTTAATGGCAGTTTATCAAATTGGTAAAAAAAACTCAGGAGATAAATTGGAGGAAAAAAAAAGTAAAACTTGAGTTACAAATTAGTCATCTTTTTTGTAAATGAGACAATCTTAGTCATCGGCTTTAGAATTCTTGAAAATTAGTCCTTTAAGTATTGTGAAAATTTATGAATTATTATTAAAAAACACTATAAATATGGAGTAGCATTTTTACTATGAATATTTTTACTATTTTATACGGAGTAGCATATAAGTAGCTTCTATGAAAAACAGTATGAAGACTCCATATAATCATTATGAATATTTTACTATTTTATCGGTATGAATATTTTTTCTATTTTATATGGTGTAGCATTTAAAAAAAAACTAACAAAATAATCATATTTAATTTATTAATACTAAAAATAAATGAATTATATATGTGTGTGCTCGTGTAAATGTACATATGTTAAAAATGATAGTGGTAATAGTTATATAAATAAAAATAAATAAAATTTTTAAAAAATAATCCCGAAACTTATTAAAAAAATACCTACTAAAAGAAATAAAGTTAAGTTAAATATATATACATTTAAATTCATTTTTTCTAATGGTCATTTTACGTCTTAACATCTAATCGTAGAAAAAAAAAATAACTACTAATCGCAAATATCCTTTTTGCTAAGCTTCCTAACCTATTATAGTATGGAATAATGGACAAGAATAATCTCAACTATTAGTGATCTGCTTGAAATAATTCATAGCATCAATTATCTCAAAATAATCCAAACCATTGAAAAATCTTCTCAAAATACTCCGGTGACTTATAATTATCCGTAATATTATAAGTTATTTACGGATAATTATAAGTCATTGGAGTATTTTGAGAAGATTTTTCAATAGTTGGGATTTTTTTTGAGATATTGATACTTTGGATTATTTCAAGCAGATTACTAATAGTTGGGATTATTCTTGTCCATTTTTTCCTTATAGTATTTGTTCTATGTTAAGGCCAACATCATTGAACTTGGATGAGATTCGTACGTGTGACCTCCTTCTTGGGAGTGTCACAGTGATGTCCCCAGATAACAAGGTAGTTGACAGCTAATCACAAATATCTAAGTTACTAAACATTTTACATTAAATCGACAATGAAAGCGGTTGGTTAAAACAACTAATAGAATCGGTTAGTATCAATCAGTTGATTCAACCAATTATCAGTTAGCAGTCAACCTCTAATTGTCACACTCGTTGATATTTTTAGTCATCAGCTTTACATGACAAAATCACACTAGAAGAACTGGAAATGTCAATTTCACAATATTTAAGAGGCTAAATGTCGTGAATTCTAAAGTCGGGGATTAAAAATATCTTCCTCACAAAAATTTGACCAATTTATTCGCCGAAGTTTTGTTTTTTTACCAATTTGTCTCTAAAAGTTTTATTTACTAATTTGATAGACTGTCCTTTTTTATCAATTTGGTAATTTGGCCAAAGCTAGACTAAGGATGTTTTTACTTGGACTGTAATTTGTTGGTTCTGTCTGGTCTGATCTATTTTAGTCTGGTCTGGTCTGTTTTGGTCTGTTCTGGGTTGGTCTGGTCTGAAATTTTATTTTTTATATTTTTTGCATAAAGATTCCATAAATAATTATATTTTATTCATTTATAATTAAAAATAATAATATTCCTTCCAAATTATCGAAAATTATTATGGTTTAGATATAAATATATCTTTTAGAAACATAAGCGACATGGAGCTGCAGTTGCTAAGAAGCATATGCCATATCTTCAGTACCTAGAAGCTTTATTCCAAGGACAGACTGCACATGGTGTATGAGGTAGCTCACTTGCTAGCGCTAGGACAACACCCATTCTCAATAGTAATGTCGCGGTCCAAAAGACTCAGAACATAAACACCGAAGAATCTTTTGATACCGGTAGTGATAGTTCGGATGAAAATGAAAGTCATGATACAGTTTATGGTGAAAAAAGTGATTCACCTATTATGGTAGATCAATCATCCGCATCAACTAAGAAGCGAAAGGGAAAAAACAATGTCGGTGAAAGCTTAGCACGAAAGCGAGGGAAAATAGATAGATGTTTAGAAATCGTGAGCCTTGCTTCTGCAAATGAGCGATCTGTGATTGAAAAGGTGGCTAAACTTCTTGATGAGATGGAGGTTGACAAGAAATACGGTGATCAATATTATGTGGATGCTATGACCTTCTTAAGTGAAAGTAATAAGGGTGAGGTCTTTGTGACACTTCGATCTGAAAATCAGAGGTGGATGTTTCTACAGAAAGGAGTTCCTTACTGCATGTGATATTTATTTTCAGCATGCTAATTATTTTGTCTATTCGTTTTGAACTTTTTCTATGTTTGTTTGAACTAAAATTATGTGGATTGTTATCTTTTACAAACATCTCGTGTTATCGTTGTTATAGCATGTGTTTACCATTTTTTTTAATGGGCATTGGAATTCATTATTTGACTTGTGTAAAATGAATATTGAAGTTAGGCGGTCATGTTTGCATTAGAAGAGCTCAGATCATTACTAGAAGATGATGAACAAAAGAAAACTAGGATATCAATGAGAGTAGGTGGAGAAACGAGAGGTGAATATATACATAGAATGTTGAATGGTCATCCTGGATTGTGTAAAGAGCAATTAAGGTTGACAAAAGAAATGTTCATCCACCTTGTGAATATTATGGTTGAAAGAAATTTATTAAAAGACAGCATGTTCATTCATGTGGCGGAGCAAATTGTAATTGGTCTTTATATATTGGCCAAGGGAGCTTCTTACACAGATGCAACTGATGTTTTTAAGCATTCTTTGAGAACCATATGCAAATATTTCAATCTAGTATTGAATGCCTTGGTTGAGTTATCCTTTGACATAATTTGAACACATCACAATTTGTTGGACGTCCACACCATAGTTTTCAACAGTTCCTTATATTGGCCGTATTTCAAGGAATATTTATGAATTATTCAACATTTTTAAAAGTCAACGAAAACTAATTTATTTTTGTATATGTGTTAGACTTTATTTATGTTTTTTATTTATTGTATTAGAATTCAGTTGGAGCATTAGATGGTACTCACATAGAAGCAGTTATATCAGATGCAAAGGGGGTGCCGTTTCGAGGACACAAAGGAAACAAAACCTGGAATGTCTTAGCATGTTGTTCATTTGATAAACTATTCACGTTTGTCAATATTGGCTGGGAAGGAAGCGCTCACGATGTAAGAGTGTGGGTTGATTCCTTAATGCAATAAAAATATCATTTTTCTCATCCCCCACCAGGTATAAAATACAAATACATTTATTATTAAAGGTTTTTGTAAACATAAAATAATATCCTTTTAACAAAGTCAATTTAAAATGTAGGTAAATATTACTTAGTAGATTCAGGGTATCCAAACACACTTGGATATTTAGCTCCATTTGATGATGTGGGAATGAGGAAACATGTGCCAAAATTTTGTGCCGGTGGCAAGAGGAGTAATGGAACATTTTAATTATCGCCATTCATCACTGAGAACTACCATTGAAAGGGCATTTTCGTATATGAAGAAAAAGTGGAAGATACTTCACAATATGCCCAAAATGAAAGAAGTGCATCAACAAGTAATTATTTTCTCTACTTTTACACTTCATAATTTTATCAGCATGTGCAAAATGGGAATGCCAATTTATGAACATGAAGGGAATGGACAAGGCATGGTTGATTCAGACATGTTCAACAATGGGCGAAAAGAAGCTATGAACAATGTTCGCGTGGAAATTGGGAAACAAATTTGGTAAGACATTCAGAAACCCAGAATAACGGATGCATGATGATATTTATTATTTTATAGTACTTTTTTGGTTCTAAAAAGATTTATAGTTTATCCATTATTCATACAATTTATTTACAAATCAAGATTTTTTTTTTATTTCTTTGTTTTTTACAAATCAAGATCATCTATATTATTTTGTCACGTGTATGACTTAAAATACGAACAGACTAAACCAAACAATAATAAAATAGTACAAGTATTAATAATAACAACAATAATACTACTACTACTAATAATAATAATAACAATAATAGTAATAATAGTAATAATACTAATAATAATAATAACAATAGTAACAATAACAACAACAACAACAATAACAACAACAACAATAATAATAATAGTAATAATAATAATAATAATGATAATGATAATAATAAATTCTGATCTGGTCTGCTCTGGTCTGTTTTAGTCTGGTCTGGTCTGGGACGAATTACAATCCAAGTAAAAAAAAACCTAACTCCAAATCCCAAATTGCTTCTCAAAAATCTCTTACCATCCATTTGGAATTATCCTTTTTTACTTCCAGTTGCAAAACTTTTTTAGCCCATTTGGTAATATTAGAATTGGTTGGATTAGCTAATCAATTGAATTTGCTGAAATTGATGAAGTTTTTGTTGAATTGGTTGAATCTATTGAATAATGTAAAAGATGAATTTAGAATTATTTTATTAATGAAATAAAGAAAAAATTATATGATAAATAAAATAGCTTAAATAATCTTTTATAGTTTCAACCAATTCATCCACAAAAATAACTTCAAATTTACTCATGTTAATTAGTACACAATTGAGCGCATTAGATCAAGAGTTATATATTTGGTGAAAAAAATGTTTGATAAGTCAAAAACAAAGATCATCAAATGAGTTCTCAAATATAACTCAATCGTCTCTTTATATCCTTAATACTTTGCTGGGTTTTTTTACAGGAAACTAACATATTATATTAAAATCAAACTCGCAGTATAATAAGGTGACATGCCAATAATAAAGTAACCCCTCTATCCCAAAATGACCAATAGCCCAGCGGCCCCCTCACTCCTAGATCAGACATAGAATAGTCCACCCAAAAAAGAACGAGACTAATCGCTGAAAATGTGAGAACTTCGAGGCTATTAGCGGCTGAATCAGCCTGATTGCCTCCAATAAGAAATCTATCAAATAAAACAAAACAAAGCGTCATTCTACCCCCCTTATTGTTTATCCTAAAAAGAGCAAAATAGAAATAGTAAAATAGTCTGGACTGAAAATAAAAAACTGGAAATAGCAAAGTAGTCTTTCAAACCCTAGTCGCATAGTTCATCCATGGCGGTGGTTCGGGAGGGGGCGGATTTTCATCCTTTTATCTTCTTCCTTCATCACTTCCATCTGCTCGTGGATCGCCTCCTTCTCTTGACCAAGATACTGCACAAACAAAACCGATCCGAGTACGAGTAGTCTCCACATCCCAATTCGGATTAGTCGCACGAACCCAATCAAATTTGGAGTTGGTCTTCGCTGCTCCAATCCTTGATTGCGGAATCCGTCCCTGTATCGTCCAACGTCGAGCGAAGAGATTCGCCGACCCCAACTTACACAGACGAGGGTCAGAACCCTAACTGCGGCAGAACTTACGCAGACGAGGGTCAAAACCCTAGCTGCGGCCGAATCCAGAGAAGAAGTGAGCAGGAGCGGTCGAGCGGCACAGCTCCAGAAAGGGGGCGTCAAGGCGTGCGGCCTGCCAGCCTCCGGCGATGTGCGCGGCGGAACTTGCGAGCTGCCTTCTCTCTATAGCCTGGGCTCTGGAGGTCGTCGAATAACTAAAATTTACTTTGCTGGTTAACAACAATCTATAGTTTTATATAGTAAAGTTGAGTTAAAAACTAAGAGAAAAGGGTGAGATAGAGCCTCGAATTTACAAAAAAATGTCAAATAAGGCCTTCTATAAGAGATTCTGTTTGGCCATTTGGGGCGGTTCCCGGTGGAATTTTTCGATGAATTTTTTTTCTAATCTTATCCATTAAGTTTAGTTTACTCATACCAAATTTCAGCTAAAACTTCAATCGGGAAGACATTCAAATAAATTCTTGAAGATAACTGTGCTTTTAACTACGCACTTATCTTCAAGAATATATTTGAATGCCTTCCCGATTGAAGTTTTAGCTGAAAATTGGTATGAGTCAATTAGACTTAATGAATAAGATACTTAAAAAGTTTCATTGAAAATTTCCACCGGGAATCACTCCAAATGGCGTCGGCCGGATAGAACCTCCTATATTTTGTGATTAGTTCTACCTTATTTGACATTTTTTTGTAAGTTCGAGGCCCATCTGACCCTTCTCCCGAAAACTAATGATGTGTCAGCTTCCTATTGGATAAAGAAAATTCTATTATCACAACAATTAAAACAATTAATTAACTCCCTACACTACATGGCTATTTCAAAAAAAAAAAACTCCCTACTCACAACCGATTTGGAGCAAAAAAAGGAGAAATAATATCTCTTTTTAAAGTGATATAACTTTTATAATTATAATCTAATTTTTACAAAAACTATATCAAAATTCATAACTTTTTATTCTTTCATATGACACCAATATCATATATATAAAAATAAAAATATATCTCTACGTCTCGTAGAAAGATTCCACACGGTTTACGATATATAACTAACCATAAAGTTAATTGATTCTATCCATAATTAGATTCTTTATAGTAAATAAAATTTACATATTTAGATACTACATCAAAAGTTTTACAAAATCGCAAAAGAAAGACACAAATTTGATAAAAATTGGATATATAAAGTAATAGATTAAGAAGACCTTATATTGACCGGATAATAATGGATGAGAACTTTTGAATAGGAAGAATGTATATTTTATATAGGAATTCTGAGTTAAAAATTCTATTGATTTATAAAAATTCTATTATCACTGCTCATTTGGAGAAAATGAATTGAAGGAGAAAAAAACTTTTTAAAATGTATTAAAACTTATTTATTTGTACTCCAATTTTTACAGAAATTACATCAAAATTTATAACATTCTATTATCTTTCATATGACACATATAAGTAATCCAATTTTCATTAAATATTTAAATTTATTATTTTATTTAGTAAAACATGATTTCAAACTGCTAACATATATGTCACTCTGTTATTGGTTAACAAAAATTCTATCATCTTTATTATGAAAACATTTAATTAGTTCCAAACAAAAAGGAGATGAATCATCTATAATGGAAAAGGAAAAAAAAGTAGGCAGAAAACTTTAAATAACTAACACTTGACATTATGTAGGCTCCACGAATTGAAATATTTATGGAACTTTAATTCACGTGGACGAGTGTTAGTGGCGGTAGTCATAAATAGTTCACATTATAATGTACGCTCAATTTTGAAATATTTCAATTTTTTCTAAATAATGAAGCTTTAATTCACGTGGACGGGATTCTAATCGTACAATATCAATAATACATGTGAATATCCAAAATAATGTAAATTATAAACTCTACATATTCTCAATTCCAATTCAACGTTTCTTCTTATCATTCCTAATCATATAATTAGCCCTATAATTAGTAGAGTATTCCATGGTGGTGGTTAGTCCTATAATTAATAACTTTTACAACAATAAGCACATAAACCAAAATTATAAACACAAATTAGTACTCCAAAAGATGGTAATTCTTCATCTGTATTCCATGGTGATGATTAGTTCATAAAAGCGATCGCCAAAATTTTGATCATATCCTATGAATAGTTTACGATGTTTATTTCACCTGACCCATGTCAAATTAACACTACCGGAGCATACTCCGGGTGATGCCCAAGTCCACCCGGAGTAAACCAATTGTCCAAGTCCACATTGACTTGAAGTGTCAACTACGTAGTAGTTCAAGCCCCTCACATTTCCATATTAGGAAACTCACAATTCTAACTCAGATTTGCATATTAGGAAACTCAAGTCTCAAACTCGTTTTAAGCATTAACTCAAGAGCTTCTTTCCCCTCCTCCACGTGCTTCCTTTTCACAATTCTTGATTTTTCATTGCTTCTTTTGATTGCATAAGTCTTTTATCTAGTTAATGTACTCCAACGGTAAAAATGTACATGTTGAACTCATTCAAAATTTGAAGTACAATTACAACGGAGCATTCCCCGGGCAGAAAAGATCAAAAACAGGTTGCTGCAATGCAATGAAAGAAACGGGCAAAAGGGACAGGCCCCTTAAGCCTAAAACCATCGCACAACTACACTTCTAAAATATCAGACAAAGCAGCACACAATTCAAGATATGTTAGAGACTCTACTAGACTGAGAGGAGATGATAAATACTTTGGCAAAGTATATTCTAGAAGAAAGTAGAGTTAGTTATTAGTTATAGTTGTTGATAGCTAATAACTGTTTCCGGTTAGTAGAGTAGTTACTTACTATAAATAGTAATAGAGTGGAGATTGTTAGTAGGCTGTTTGTGACTATTGTCATTTCTGGGAAGATAGGAGCTGTATTCTATCTTTGGGGGGCTTCGGCTCATTGTTGCCTACGTGAATAAAGTTGCGATTGAGTTCTTTGTAGATTTTGTGATTGTGTGTGGAATTGCAGAGTTCTAACATTGGTATCAGAGCTTTCGATCACTGTGGATGGTACAGACGCACGCCAAGATGGAAGCGAGGATAGATATCTTGGAGAGAAGTCTACAGCAAAATAATGAATTGCTAGCTACGATGATGGCGCGAATGGACGCAAGAGAGGAACAT